GTTCAAGGGGGCCGAATACTTTTGCAAGCCACTGTATATCTCCCCCACCTGCAGAGTGAGTTCCTGGAGAGAGGAGACCTCCTGCAAAAAGCCCTTTTTCCAACAATGAACTTGAGGGCTGTTAACTGGTAGATTTAAAAACACAAACATGGAAAAAAGGCAAATCAACCGCTAGTTTTACAGAGTTAAAGGTGGCATTGATTTTCTAACCTAATAAAGAATCCAGCGTATTCCTCAATGTGTTCAACTACATCCTACTATCATTGGCAAACGCAGGTAAAGAGGTTAAAGTCAGCGTGGAAAATATGGTAGGCATTAAATGAAATATAAATATACAAAAAAGTAGTGACACTCGCCTCACAGACACAGTTGGCAGGACACTTGACCTTGTTCGGTTCTTCAGTGGGTCGTGGCATGATCCTGGCTGCTTCTTCTTCTTTTATGATGTCTTCCTGACTCTGGCATCTCAGCTCAGAAGGGTGGACAGCATCCAGGCTCTCACCTGAAAGATGGGATGGCCCTCCACAAGTCCCCATCAGCTTCACTTTGATATAGATAGCCCACTCTCTGCAGAATAGGGGAAAAAAAGAAAAGAACAAAGTGCTGATCACTTCCCTGAGGTTTCCTGAAGCTGTCAGGACAAGAGCAACAAAAACCCACCATACCTGAGTGGACGCAGGTAACAGTTGCAGAGGATTGGATTCCCGGCCAGGTTTAGACGGGACAGCTTTGGCGAGCCTTCGGCGAAGGGCTGGATGACACGCAGCTGGTTATTGCTGATGTCCAGGTGGATGAGGTTGGGGGATTTTGAAACAGCTGTGTTCACCAGGTCCTGCAGGGACATGTGGTCCAGGAAGAGGTGGGTCAGCTTGGGCATGGACACAGCCTCCTCCCCCAGGTACGTCATGGGGTTGTAGCTGAGATCGAGACGAGTCACCTCTGGCAGCCTGGATGCAGAAAAGAACAAGGCAGGAAATAGGAACAATGATTATTACTCTTATTACTCTTTGTCAACACAGACATCAAGTGTCTGAGTTTAACAAATGACTTTCTGTCCATTGTGTTGAAGTTTGGTCAGACAAGGGACTATAATGTCTGTGAGAGAGGGATTTGACAAAACATGGAATCCCTTTTGTTCTTTCTACTGATTAATATCACACAACTTATCACTTTATTTAAAACCTAAGGATTTTCTATTTTCTTCTCTATCTAGAAATAGGAGAGCCTAATTTAAAAAAACTTAAATTGCAATATCAACCAGCTTAACTTATAAATGTTAATAGATAGCACATAAATGATGGATAGACCCTGTTATACTGAAGAGTGAACCCACTAGGCTTCACCTTTGAGGCCTAACAACCTTAAATCTGCATCCTTTGTAATGGCCAGCAGGGGGAGACTCTACATATCTCTCCCTAAAAACGCTTTCCTAATGAGTCAATGGTCTGCACTGCAGAAGATAATAATAATATATACATAATGGTCAAACAGTTAAAGAAACAAAACAAACAAATTAAAATAACTTAGAAAAGTAACCAATAAATTAATGGCTACTGGTATGGATAAGCAGCTTAACATTCTGTAAACATGATGTCATTAACAGAACAGCAAAAACATAACAGGTAATCAGTTGAACTTGTTATCTAAAGCAAAGGAATTGACTACTTTACTGATCCGTAGCATAAACCTAACAAACAGTAACCTTCAGGGAACGTTCCCCAAAAAGCCCCTAAAAGTTACAATTTGGAGCGAGTCCAAGAATGTCCGCTCAAGGCGGTGCATAACTATTAGCTTACCATTTTGAAAGAAGTAAGTTAATTGTTATGTACAACTGAAACAGTTAGCTAACACAAATCAAGGAATGGGAGTTCATTTGAACTCACGAACACAGAATCTGTTGAAGAGTGAAGGAAAGCGCTTTTTTGACTCTGACAAGACTATCGGGGAACGTTGGATAAAGAATGGGAACCATTGCTTTAGGGTGTGGCCACCTTGTGACTGACAACTCATGCGGTGTCCTAAGTTTTTCAGTCAGTTCAACCTATTGATCATCACATCCAGTAGAAACAAACCAACGTTGCAATGCCTAACATATCAAAGGTTGAGGCCCACTGTGATTCACAGTGGCTATGTCCATCTTTAATGTACAGTCTTTGACAGTGGTTTTCAAAGTGTGGGGCGGAGTCTTTGGAGACCTTGCCAATTCTATTCTCTATTTTTTTTTTAAGTGATACAAATTGGACTCTTTTAATTATTGGTAATCAATAATTAAAAAAGAGAGAGATGTGACATTTTTTCAGCTTCAGAAGTCGAGAATGCCAGAAGAAGCTTTCTTAAGCTTTTCTCTAGTGTGTGTAAAGTACCCAGCGGGCCTGTACTTTGCTGTTAATTATGATGTCACAATTGTCACTTTGGATTTTAGTTTTTGTCTAGATTTACATCCAGTGTGAGATTCCTGTTTAGCTCCAATTCTGAGCGATGGTGCCTCTCACTTCACCTGGTCATGGTCTCAGTGGGGAAAAACTGTAACTCGTTGTGATCCAGGCTGAGACGAGTTAGTGTGAACAGTCCGGCAAAGGCTTCAGTGTCCAGGTAGTTTAGAAAGTTGTAACTAAGACGAAGCCACTTGATATTCTGCAGGCCCTGAAAGCAAAGGAAGCTGGCATTTTATTTAAGGCTCCAACAAGACGTGCATCTCTTTAAAATATTTGAAATTTTCCATTTCGAAGTATTTTGTACAGACGGTTTAGTGTGGGTACCTGGAATGCCATATTAGGGATGTAAACTAGCTGATTGTGTGAGAGGGAGAGCAGGTTGAGGAAGCCCAGCTGAGAGAACGCTCCAGGCTGAATCTCTTCCACACGATTACGGTCAATAATAAGCTGCTTTAGTGAGGACAAACCATCAAATGACTCCTAGAATCATAAAAAATAAAGGACTGCACTGAAAATGGTTGGGTAGACTTCTTAAAGTTAATTTTAGTTTTTAAAAACCACTTAAAATGATAATGGGATATATGTGGTTTAAGTCTAATAATACCTGGTAGAGGATGTCAATGTTGTTGTTGGCAAGGTTGAGGAAGACCAGGCGACCGAGGCCACGGAACGCCCCCTCCTTCACCTTGTGGATGTTACAGCGCTGCAGCGACAGGTGAGTCAGGTAGGGGGTGTGCATGAAAGCCCCAGTGGGGAGTTCCTGTATGTCATTACCTCGAAGGTCCAGTTTCACTGTTATCTATGAGGAAAAGAGATTATATATTAGAGGGTAATAATAAGTATTTAAAAGGTACTACAGCTTTGGAAGTTTAGCCGAAGCCTTATCATCCTTTAACAGGGGTATTAAAATTTGTAAACACCTGTTCAACAGAGAATTGTTTAAACAACCCCATTTTTGAGGATTGTTTAAACACCACAGCTTACCTGAGTATTGTTGCTAATCATTTCCATCTAGACTTTTTAGATGTGCAGCAGACAAATGTGCAGCAGCTGTGTGATGCTATCATCCTAATATGGACCAAAATCTGTGAGGAATGTTTTAGGACCTTGCTGAATCTGAGCAGATACGACCTGGTGCTGGCAAGGTGTACCTAACAAACTGACCAGTAAGTGTATATGTTTATAGATACCTCATCGACAGCAGGAGGAACCTGGGTCAGGTTCTTGTTGACACAGGTCACAGTGAGTTGGATTTGGTCACAGAAACACTCCTGTGGGCATTTTGCTGCTTGGACTGCAGGGACGCAGAGGACCAGCGGGCTGATCAGCAGAATCCAAAAGGTAACGGGGAGGTCCATCTGTAGGAAAAACCCTGATTCACTCTTTTAGTTTGGCCACATAACTCATTCATAACATGTCAAACTGCAATGCTAAATGTTTAAGGTGCACGTACGCCAACAAATTACCGCTGATTCGTTTTTTTTTTTTATTTTTAGCGGTGATGTACCGTAATAGAAAATTTATTCATGCATACAGCTTTCCAGTTTTCTGTTCATGTTGGCAGCTTCAACATTAATTTATATGTAAAATAATGCATTTGGATAAAAAATTGTATTAATGTACTAATATATCAGTTACAGAGGCAACTTCTTTTAGAGGTATTTTGTTTTGTTTTTTTACACTTGCTACTTTAAGCACATTTTTATTGACAGATTTGCATCAACGTGTTATTGATGTAAGAGATGTCATTGTAATAGAATCTCATTGAACTAAAAATAAGTCTTTTAACCTGCAAAAAGGTTGGAAATTGTCCTTGGTTAGTAGAATCATAAGGAATGTCGTTCTCAGAAGAAGTTTTAAAAAATGTTATTATCACTGAATTCGGTGTCATTCAGTTATTTTTCCCTTTCCAAAGCTGAAGGTAATTAAAAAAAAAAAAATCCTTCTGCACTTTTGGGGATTAATGCCATTTGGTCAGATTGGTCTGCCGTAGTCTTCACTGGAATGCCTTAAAACCACATTCCCATGTTGGATCAACAGTGCTGATCCACAGGAACGGACTTGAAAAGCTTCAGAGCTCCACACTCTACAGTTTGGACTCTGGAAATGTGGACACGTGCAGTATGCTATGGCTATTTTTTTTCTGTTAAAACTGTGACCTTAAAGAAATTATTGACCGCACAACACAAACGGCAAATTCATGAACTTATTTGCTATGTGCACTTGAAGTCAATGATAAGATTGGTATAAAAGGTTGAAAATACTTGGTGTCATCTCAAGCATCAGGGAAACGAAGCTGTACCACACGTTTAAAAAGAATTAAACTGCTAGTTTCATATTTATTCACGCCATATATTTTTTTCGAGCAACCACCTGAACAGAAAGAGGCCCAGAAACTAGAGAGGAAGGAATTTCCTCAGTTCGGGCTGTTTGTCTTCGTTCCCCCGGGATCAACAGGTCCAAACCGCGGAGGAGCAGCCGCACCGGCCGTGCACAAAGGCGCACTGTCTTTCTCTGCCGGGGCTGTGCCAACATGAGTCTCCCCTGAACACACGCCTGTCCACCGGGCAGTGCGACATAGCAGGCACTGTACAGCCTCGAGACACTGATTTAGCCTAAACTACGATCATTACAAAAAATCTGAATATGATTTGTGTAGATATCAGGTTACATTTGTTCAAGTCAAGTGCTTATTACAAAAAAATACTAAGGTTCGCTATTAAAACACGATACTTTCCTTTTTGACGCAAAACAAAATGCAGGACTAAATACCTGAGCATCGGGTATTAACCGTTCCGGCCTGTTTAAGTGTTTCCCGGACACCATTACGATTGTTTGAATGTGTGTAATACTTTTAAATCCGGACATTCAATGATAAGAAACCCCTTTACGCACAAACTCACCGTGGCGGTTCCGTCCAGCTGCAGAGCGCTACTGGTCCCTCAGTCACGAACTCCGCCGCTCTTCCCCTGCTTGTCGCCCCATCCAAAACAAACTCCGTCTATCCCCTTCTTTCACGTCTGCTCCTTGGCTACCTCCACCTCCAACCCCTCTGCTGCAGTCTGCTCACTGCGCCTCAGTTTATTAAAGGACTAGTTCAGCCCAAATTGAGGAGAATCAGTCACCTCAGAGCCAACACTAAAGTCTAACTTTCATATGCACCACTAAAAATGAAAGTGACATTTAAAAAAAATACATTAAAATATGTAAAAACTCTGATCACAGTGTAACACAGTTAAAATCAGAAGCCATAAATGATTATTAATCCCTTTCTCCTGCTTTGGTTACAATGGATCTGTGAGATCTCAGATTAACCAGACCTGGATCAGGTAATTTGGTGACAGGTGCAGTGATCCATAATGTCCCAGAGGTCTTTGAGGATCAGTCAATGGCATTGCTGACTTTGTTGTTCAGGAACAGCATAAAAACACTGGTCACATGAGGCTGGGAATTATTCTCCACCCACATTTGGTCTGAGGATTTCATTCTGGTACCTACAGCAGTCAGGATACCAAGTCGAGGTCTGTGTTCTCTTCAAGGATATGCCTACACAGACCATCTCTACCCCACTGCCACACTGGTCATGCTAGATGGCATTATGGGGCTGTTACTTCTCATACAGATGAGCAGCTACTGGTCCTGATGCTGGGTTGATGCTATTCTACAGCCCTATCCACGGCTCCTCATCTCTCCTCCACACTTTAGTCTGTGCCTTCTTGTGATAGCACCTATGGATATGTCATCCTGGAGTTGGACTTTCTGTGAAGCCTCAGTGCGATGCAGGGACAGTCTCATGCAATAGTGGCAAGAATCAGCCAGGAGGGATAAGATCAACGATCTGTGAGAGAGGGGTTTATTCTGTTGCCTGTCCCATGCACCTGTTGTCACTTTTATTTACACCAAAGCAGGTAAACTACACTCATAACAGTTTCTGCTTCCTAACTGGGCAGATTATATTCCTTAAGTTTAATTCTTTGTGTTTTGATGCGATGCTCCATTATTCATCTCACCTGTTTTATTCAACATGGATGCTATCCGAGGACCGATACTAATAAACATCACCACTCAACCCCCCCCAAAACATTAATTTTCTTAGAATGAGTTCAAAGGCGGCTGTTGCAGACATGACTGTGAAAACACTCAGACAAACAAAGAGGGTGTCAGGTTTGTTAGATGAACTATATTTAAGACAGAACATTTGGTACAAATTACCAATAAGGTAAACCAAAGTTATCCTCAAGGAATAGATGCACAATCAAACAGATGATCTAAATGCAATATTCCATTCTCATAATACCACCAACACACAGAGCTATATGAGGTAATACACAGGACGTTGTGCAACATAAAGTCATATAAGAAACTCCAAATAAAAGTGATTCTGGTCCCTGATCATGATGATCCTGCAGTATGGGTTGGTCCCTATGAGCAGCACAATGATAGCTGTGAGTAAACAAACTCTCCCTAAAGTTGCTCTTCTTTCCCTTTAAAGAATTTATTCAAATACATATCAAAATGACACCTTTTTATTTATTTTACTTATAGATTATAATAATGTTGGCATCACAATTTCTGTCTTAGCACTCCTGAACCAGGTTTTCACAAAAATCAGTAGTTGTATCAGCGTCTGCCACACTGGTGGGATCTCGTCTACAAATTTCTCAATTTATTTCAGAAACACTGATGATATGTTAAACCAGAGATTTCCACAGATATAAAAGCATGTTTCTGAAATAAATTCCTTTTTGTGTAATTTTTTTTAAATTTGTAAATTTTAACTCGATTAATTACTAAATGTAGGATGTTCGCTTCATTTCAGGTTACAGTCATTAATCATTTTAAACACATTAAACTCAAGTCTGATTGATGTGAACTTTTTTTCTTTTTTAAAGCATTTGTATCTATTTTCTATAAAAATATAAGTCACAAGCACAAGTAGAAAAATAAAAATTAAGACATTCTTGGACAGTCTCTGTGAAGCCTTCATAGAATATGAATGTCAGGAGCAGAAATCAGTGGTTGGACTTGGCCTTTGACTAGAAACCCCCCAAAAAAAACATCCCTGCTTGTTTTTCAAAGGTGAAAAACTGAATGTGAGTGCAGAGTGTGCCCCTGTGTCGGTTAACTCAATGTTAATCCTGGCCCCTCCTCTCCAAAGCAGAGCTCAGCCTCTCTCTGGCGCTGCCGCATGACTTGAGAACCCCACCGTTCCTGAAGAGTCAAACAAAAATGCGCACATGTGAGGCTGCGGTCCCACTCATGCAACAGGCTAACACACATTTAAATAGAAATACGAAGTTAAACTAAGTCGAGGTGATGAAAGACTGTTCTACCTGGACAGGAAGATGTGAAGCAGTGAGGCATCATGCTTAGGGAAGTATTCCTGCTGGACAGCATGTTCCAAACATAGCAGCTGACCCGGGACCAGCAAAGCCTTTTTTGTCTTCCCCTCTCCCTGGAAGTGAAAACAATAAAGAAAAGGCTCACCACATTTAAAAACAACTTATAACCTGGCCATTACAGATTTGCCTGAAAACTTTCCAGGACAAAGATCAGCTTTTTAATAGGAATTATGTGAATATGTTAAAATAATAAATACAAATCTTTTGGGTATGAACGGTGGATGGACTGACCCATATATAGATAGTAGCAATACCAATGCTGGTATTGGATCAATACTAGCATGACAGGATCAATACTTTGTTTTTAACCACCAAGTTCAGTATAAAACCCTCTTCATGTTATTATTACTTTTTTCCAGTAATAATAAAATATAAAAAAAATATACTTCAAACATGCACAATGAAAAATGTCTGAACCTTTTTGTGTTGACTGTCACATCTGTTTGATTTATAACCCATATAACATTTAAACAACACAAGATGACCAAAAACTGCTTTAGAGACAGACACAGACACAAGTCCAGGTCTCCAAAAATCCCAGTTTTAAAATACATAAACAGCTGAAAGGTGAGTTTTGTTATATTAACTAATTATTTTGAAAAGTAAAACTCAGTGATTTAGTAGTCATTAAATGTGTTCAGAATTTGCAAATTGATGATTATTCATCTCATAACTCATGAGTATGGGGCGACCGTGGCTCAGGGGGTTGGGAAGCGTATCTGTAACCGGAAGGTCGCCGGTTCGATCCCCGGGCTCTCTGTCCTGGTCGTTGTGTCCTTGGGCAAGACACTTTACCCTACCGCCTACTGGTGTTGGCCAGAGGGGCCGATGGCGCGATATGGCAGCCTCGCTTCTGTCAGTCTGCCCCAGGGCAGCTGTGGCTACAACCGTAGTTTGCCTCCACCAGTATATGAATGCGAGAGTGAATGAATAGTGGTATTGTAAAGCGCTTTGGGTGCCTTGAAAAGCGCTATATATAAATCCAATCCATTATTATTATTATTATGACACAATGCTCTCCCCACACAAGCTGCCTTTACAGGTTCAAAGTATCAGCATCATCAATACTGGCCTTGTATTTACTCGGTATTGGATCACACAGTACTAGGAAATATCAAGTACTATGGCTCTCTTAAGATAAATTCTGAGATATAACAGAATTATGGATCGCTGAAGTTCCTTAAATATTTGGATGTCTAATCTCTGCCAGCAGATTTGGAGCCCTGCCGAACCTACTCTGTGCATGTAAATGACTGATATTCTGTTTATAGTTTCTCGTGAAGTGTTACATAATAGGAAGCACTGCAGCGAAGCTTTACCTTGAGTAGTCCCATCATGACCAGCAGTGTGGAGAGGAAGCAGTATGATTGGAGGGTGGAGCCAGAGAGGAGCTTCTTCAACATTGCATCTGTGGAGCACAGTGACACACTGCATGTCAGAATCTCAGAGAAGAGAAGCTATCCACGTGAAAAAGAGGACAGCACAAGAGAGAAACTGCACCTCGACGTCCTCACTAATAAGCAGCCCACTCAGTGCAATTATATTTGAGGAATCTCTGCATGCCAAAGCTTTGAAAAGGATGTGCTGTGTTGCATTTCAATGTTTGACTATAAAAAGTAACAGAGGACCTAATTTGGTTGTTCTCATTAATTAGTCATATATAAACTGTTCAAATGGTGCCTGCTCATATTAAAAGTTTCAAATAATGACGGCAGTGTCTTTGCTGATGATCCTTGTATGTTAAAAGCTCAGACTTCAGTTTTCCTACTTTTGGCTCTTTATGCAGTCAGTGGGCATGGTCATCTCAGACACACAGCTGTAGCTGCGAGCAGAAAAGCTCCACCTGCTGTTTAATCCTTTTGTTTGTGAGGGGCAGCCAATCAGAAGAAAGTTGGCTTAAATTAAGAGGAGCTTGTTTTTGATGAACTGAGAGGTGGCACCAAGGCCCAGTATAAGACAAATAAGGATTATTTTGAACTTTGAATCCTGCAAATGTGGGACTAATGAGTAGCAGAATCAGTCTAATGTAAGTGTGACTTTATTCACCGATAGTATCCAGAACAGCGGTCTTGGTCTCGGGATCTTCACTGTATAGGGAACCGATTTTCAGAATGGCATCAGCAGCTTTCTGTGGCTCAGATGCATCGACCTGGTGAGAAGACAGCAACAGGTTAAACCCATTCCAGCAAAGTAAAACAGGCCAACACCAACATGCTACAAACACTTTGCTGACTACTTAAAAACATGTAACCTCTTGCTGAAGGTGTGTCCTCAACTCTCCCAGCTGGAGAAGCCGTTCTGCAGAGGGGCAGCTGAGGAACGACGTGATCTCCGCCTGTGGACGAACATAAGAGACATCACTGAGAACTCTTCATTTCCCAGTTTATGTGAAGTAACTAACTGATCAACAATCACGTGAAAGCAACTGTTCGTCTAATAAAGCTTCAACTTACAGGACTGTTAGGCGAAACAGGACTATTTCCATTTGTTGTTATGCCATTTTCCTTTGCGATTTCACTGCCCTCTTCATTCTCTTCATTGCAGTCATCACTGACATCATCGTCGTCGTCGTCATCATCATCGTTTCCACTGTCATCTTCATCATCCTCATCTCCCTCATCATCACTGTAGCAGTGAAAGTTTTAAATCTATTGTTTGCATGTTTGTGCAGTTAAACACTGAAAATGATTATGGATTTTTAAAACCTGCATTACCTGAGTGACTCGAGCACGTCTCCTTTGTTCATGTTCTCCATAGCCTCTCTCAAAGCCTCACAGCCCTCCTCTCCCAGACAGTTACCTATCAGCCACAAACAAAACCAGTTTCAGACTTTGCAAACTAAAAATGTCTTTTTATTTTACATTTCTGCAGCATTGTTCAATCAACCTGGATCTTCTTTCTCCAAACACATAAAGACCCATTTCATGGTCAATGTGCATACCGTTCAGATCCAATTTCTCCAGATCAGCTTTGTCTGCAACAGCCTGAGCCACCACTAGTGCTGCTGCTTCAGTGATCTCACCAAATGACAGATTAAGCTCCTGGAAAAAAGTTGCATGAGAGCACTGTGAGATGTAGGAGACACAAAGGGAAACCAAGTCCTGAGCTGCGATCGTACACTGACCTTGAGGATTGGCAGTCCTTCTCTCAGGACTGCAGCGAGGGCGACAGCCCCCTCAGAACGGACCAGACAGTCGCCAAAATTGATCACTTGGATGTTCCTGAGATGCCTCAGAGCCTATAAGGCCAAGTGAATTCGGGGACACAGTCAAACACCGGATAAAGGTCCTCTCTGCTTACAGAAAGTTGTTGAAAAAAAATATGGAACTCACCTGTGCCATGGGCAGCGAGCCCTTCTTGGTGAAAGTGTTGTCATTGAGGTTGAGGACTCGAAGCTCTGGGTTATGTCGAATGGCTGAAGCTAACGCCATCACACCTGAGTAGTTTATTCCATTCTGGGGCATGTGAATCTCTTCAAGGCTGCCCATCAGCTGATGTGAAAGCGAGGAAGAAAGTGCATCATGAAACAGAAATGGTCTTTGTTCCTCCCAAATCAAAAGTCCATAATATCATTACAGTTACTAAACGTCACATTTACGGTAATGTAAAACTGAACAAGGTGGGAGTATTTTGTACCTGAAAGGCCTTAGCCAAGGCACTAGCTCCTTCATTTTCCAGGCGGTTCCTCCCTGCTATAAACACTCTCAGTCTAAGTGGAGCTCCAAGAGACGATGACTGTCTGTGGCATTCAATCAGGGCTTCAGACAAGATCTATATTAAACATACAAACACAGATGCTGTTGGAACTATAATGCAAATACACAATAAAGTGTTACATTTTTAAAAATCTGTTAACTACATTAAAAAGCCCACATTTACGTACATAATTTGAGCCTGTGCCTCTGTACACAACCATAGCAAATTTAAAATAAAACAGTCAGGGTGTGATGTGATTGATGGGCAGATTTTCAGCTTTAATTTAAAGGGTTTATGAAAATTTTGCATCACCTGTTTCAGAAATATGGCTGTTTTTATACATAGTCTCAATTTTGAGAGATTTATAATGAGTTTAAAAAAAAATCTGCTGAAAACACAAATCTTAATTGTTCAATTTAAAATGCACTGTGGAGATATACTAAAGCTACAAAACTAACACAAATAAATGTGTCTTTGTCTATATATTATTTGACAAAGCTGTTTAAGAGCTCACCTTTCCTCCACCAATCCCCATACCACAATTGTTGAGCTTTAGCTCCCTCAAGGTGTGGCAGGAGGGGCTCTTAAGCAGCTGCTCGATTCCTTTGACACCATCTGGCCCAAAAGC